AATGTGGGGCTTAGCTGTAGGACATAGGTTACCAAATTGGCCTTTGTTTTTGCGTCCTGGTCTTGCTGCTATGCCAGAGGCTTTGTTACATGCTCCTACCACAATGGAACCAGCCCACATCCTTAATCACTGTGATACCTTCTGAAATCATGACCCAAATAAACTCTTCCACCATTAAGTTGCTCTGAAGAATTTTGGGGCTGAGGGGATAGCTCAGTGGTTAAGAGTGCTTCCTGCTTTTCCAGAGCACATGTTTGGTTCCCAGCACCCATATCAGGCAGCTGACAACCACCTGTAAGTGTGACTACAAGAGATTTAACACCCTCATTTGACACCACTTGAACACATCACACAATCCTTACACAGAGATAAAAACAAGTCTTAAAACGTTTCTTTTGTTGTGTGTGTGCGCACGTGCCGCGGTGTCAGAGGACAGCATGGAGGAACTGGTTCTTTCCTTCTATCATGTGGGTTGCAGGCTTCAAACTCAATTTGTCAGGCTTGTCACGCTTGGTTGCAAGCCATGTTAATCCTGTTTTGTTTTGTTTTGTTTTTAATTAAGTGTGTGTGTGTGTGTTAGAAAGAGAGAGTGATGGGGAAGGTTTGAGATGGGTAAGTTGCTTTTGCAGGAATTTTGTCACTCCCAAAGAAAAGTAATTTGCTTTTAGAGAGGTGAAGTTCCGGAAGACTCAGGCCCCAGGGCGTTCTTAGTAGGTGGTACCAGTTTAGAAGAAAGTGGTTCCGACACTGTCATCAAATCCACAGCATTATTCAGCAGAGGGATAAACCTCTCACCATCTTAGCCAACATTAAATGACTCCAGTCATTTGTTGGGCGGTAGATTGGACTCTGAGTTGACAGAGGAGCCCCAAGCTAGACAGCAAAGTCCCTTGTGTGCATTGTGCAATGCAAGTCAGGAGAGATCCCATGTGCATCCAGGAATCCTAAGTTTGGAGAGGGCGGTGGTGAGTACGAGGGCATAATGGGGCACAGCAGGGAAGAGGGGATGGAACTTGAAAAGTTGAGCTGGGTGACCAGACCCGCCTAGAGACTTTTCTCAGTCAGAAATACAGGCATACTAGAAACTGCTTCATAACTTTGTTTTACCTGAATCAGAAAATAGAGGGTTGTTTTTTTGTTCGTTTTGTTTTGTTTTGTTTTTAAATCAGCCATTGAGGTTGTGGTCCCAGAATAAAGAGGAAACAAAGACTTAGAGAACAAAGCAGAGCGGGGGGAGGGGGGGACCAATTATCATTTATTTATGTGTAGAAGTTATGATACTGATCCAGGGATCTGAAATGTCAACATGATAGTTGCCAAACTGTATACATGGCTGTCTTGAAGGTCAGGGTTTTCATGCGGAAGCAGCATTTTGCCCTCTGAACATTAGCCTAACATTGGGAAAAGGAGAGAGTCTGCCAATCACAGAAGTCAAGCTTGGTGGGAGAGACCAAGTCTAAAAGGCTTTGAGTTTAGAACTCTGGAGGGACACCGAGGAAAGATTATCTTTTGGAGTAGGAAGGTTATGAGATGACTATTGGCCACAGCCAGACAAATAGCAGTGTGGTGGGGGCAGGGGGTGACCTCAGAGGAGAGGTCAGGCCCATATGATATAGTGGGAGTCCTTCTCCCAGTTTCCACAGGAAGTTTTGTGGGAAGGAGATTGGAAATTTCCCCTTTTGATTTGTAGTTGGTCATTGCTGGGGTAACCAGGGAGTAGTCAGTTAAGCATTATTCATAATAGCCAGAACCTGGAAACAACCTAGGTGCCCCTCAACCAAACAATGGATAAAGAAAAGGTGGCACATTTACACAATGAAGTACTACACAGCGGTAAAAAATAGTGACATCTTGAAATTTGCAGGCAAACAGATGGATCTAGAAAAAACATTAAGTGAGGTAACCCAGACTCAGAAAGACAAATAATATGTACTCACTCATAGCTGACTTTTAGACATAAACCAGAGAAAACCAGCCTACAACCCACAACCCCAGAGAACCTAGACAACAAAGAGGACCCTAAGAGAGGCATACACAGATCTAATCCACATGGGAAGTGGAAAAAGACAAGATCTCCTGAGTAAATAGGGAGCATGGGGGTCATAGGAGTGGGTGGAATGGGAGAGGGGAGCAGAAAAAATGAATAGCTCAATAAAAACAATGAAAAAAAAGATAAGCAATGGGTAAACACTTCCTCTGGCCATTACAGGGTTAATAGGGTAGAGAAGGGAAGAAACCAGAGAAGCAAAATCTCTTTCGCTACAGGAACTGTCACAGTTTAATCAAAATGAAGGAGATTTATAGAAATGGCCTGGCTACTGGCTGAGCTGGAAATTCTTGGGCTGCTGGTCTCAGTGGCTGTTGGCTCTTCCCAGATCCACAAGAGAAGACTGGCTTGTAGAGATGGAATAAGGCCCAGAGAGAAGCTCAGTGGGTAAAGGGGCTGACTTGTCACCAAGGCAGACAGCCTGAGCTTGATCTCTGGGACCCACACAGTAGAAGGTAAGAGCCTGTCTCTGAAGGTGGTCCTCTGACCTCCACACGTGGCACTCATAATCTCCACGCATGTACACAGACGACAGATGAAATGCAATAGGTAAGTGTCTGTGGAAAGGAAAGGTACCAGGAATGCTGTCAGCAAGGGCTCCAGAAGGGTCCTCTCAGGAGATCTGCGCTGAAGAACCCAGGAGTGGCTTTGAAGGGCAGAACACGTTTCCTTTAGCTTACTGATAGCTCATAGGGCATATATTAAGTATCACAATAAAAGTCATAAAATAAGTATGAGATAGTATCACATGATGCAAATTCTTCTGAAAGACAGACAAAAAATGAACATTAATGAAGAGTTGACAGGAAGAACCAACATTTATATTTTGCTGAATTTAGTGTTAGGGATTTTCATGCTTCATAATCTCATTTGCATGTATTTTGACAAAGGGACACATCGAATCGATGCCACAGAACTGAACACTTTAAAGTACCTTAACAGGTAGCATACATATTATATATATAACAGGTAAGTTAAATGTATTATATACATATATATATATATATTATATAATAGTAATATTTTGTAAATAGGCAGCCCCAAATGATAGGATTAATGGAAGTGCCTCACTCTATATTCACTGTGGCTGCACAGCACACACTGCCCCTCTGCACTCAGCATTAGCTTACTTAATAGTGATTCATTCTGCACTCATCTCTAGACTTTCCCACCGTTGAAACTGGTGGTGATGTGAAGCCACCTCTGCATGTACGTACCTAACAGGTATGAAGGGTGACGTTCTCTCCTGCCTACCTAACACCTTCTCATCATCTTGTGACAATCTGGAGGGTGAGTTATCTCCTTGAACCCCCCTTGTGTCTCCGGAACTCTTTGGAAACCTACTTGAAGTACTTGCCTAACACGTTGGTTCTGCTAGGGCACCTGACTCATACCTCTGATACAGTGGAACTTAACACACAGCCTGTTCCCTAGGGACTGATGCAGTTTTTCTAAAATTTATATTTTGCTGCTGCTGGAGCTGGATCACCATTACCTCATCCTCTGTTTGCCATTCCTGAAACAAAGATGGGGCTGTAGGAGACAGCAGGGAGCTGGGACTCTAAGCTCTAGGTGTGAGGCAAACACATGTCTTCGTTCATGGAACCAGGGAGCAGCTGTATTCAGTGTTCCTCTAGCCCCCCTTTCACTCCTGGGATTTCACAGCTCAGTGAACTGCACTCCCTAACTTATTCCCTTTTCTGGAGTGTGAATTCTATGCCATTGCTTAAAACTCAGGCCCTGTTTTAATCACTGGATAAAGTGTTCTGTGTATTACTCTGGGACAGATAAGACTAGTAAAATGGTGGGTGGAATAAGCAGAGTGATGGCATAGTGTGTGCATGTTTGTATGACAAGGACACCGACTGTCATGATCGCAAGAGAAAACACCTCTGCAAGGTGTGCACTATGCATCTTTTTCTCCCATGTCCCCAGATGCAGGACTCCCGTATGTGCTGGATGTTTGGAGAAAGCGAGGGTTGCCTGAGTTAATGAGGGTAGAATTTGTGTAGTTCATCATGAGAGTGTGCAGAGATGTGCAGGGAAAGAGTGGATTGGTATGTATCAGGGCTAATTAAAAGGAAAAATGGGAGAGCAAAGAGGAAAACTGGTACTAAAGCACACAAGGTGAATCCCGACTTCGGGGTGCAGTACTGAGGATGAGAGGTGGCAGCTTAGGGCATAGAAAACGGTTGGGGGGCTGGAGAGATGGCTCAGAGGTTAAGAGCAAAGCTTGTTCTTCCAAAGGTCCTGAGTTCAGTTCCCAGCAACCACATGGTGGCTCACAATCTTCTGTAATGGGGGTCTGGTGCCCTCTTCTGGCCTGCAGGCATACACACAGACAGAATATTGTATACAAAATAAATAAATAAATAAATATTTTTTAAAAAAGAAAAGAAAACGGTTGGGTATGGCTTAGCCAGATACAGAAGGACCTTTGAGTGCAAGTATACAATACCTAGAGACTCTTCCACGGGAGCCTCCTAATGTGTCTTTACAGCCCCCTGGAGTACACTGTGATGGTTAATGCTAATGAGATGTCATCTATACCAATCCTCATCAGGATATAAGTCTTGACTCACAGAGGGAGGCAAAGGAGTGGGAATGATTCAGCATGTATCACACAGAGGCAGGCGTGCACTTAAAAGCAATTTAATAGAGACAAAGCAGGAAATACACATTTTTTTCCCCATAGAGAATCCCATAGAGTTCTGCTTCAGATGAACTCTGAGGAATCAAAGAACATTCAAGGCACTGAGATCTTCTACTTAACTCAGAGGCTCTAAAGATACCTTGGAGAATATAGGGAAAGACACCAAAGCATGTATTTTTAGGGTACAGTAGAGAGTGTGGCAAAAGATTGTGATCTCTAGACAACGAGGAAGAAGCAGACAGGAAGGAGTTCAGCAGCAGGTGGCTGGCTCTTTAAGAGTCTGGTTGGCTATGGACTGTGTTACTTCTGCTTGGTCTTCTGCTGAGTTAATTGTGGAATGACATTTGTGGGGTATACCTCAGTAACCTTAGCCTGACATGGCTCTGGTACCTTAGAATATCCCTGGCCAGTTACGTTGGTGTAGCCCTGATCAGGGACCTTGGTATAGTTGGGTTCAGAGACATTCACAAAGCCAGGTTCAGAGAAATTGGTAGTGCATGGCCCAGGAACCATGGTACAGTCTGGCCCAGGGATATTGGTAGAACATGGCCCAGGGACTGTGGTATAATCTTGCCTAGTGGTGTTTGTAGTGCATGGCCCAGGAATTGTGGTATAATCTTGTTTAGTGGCATTGGTAGTGCATGGCCCAGGCATTGTGGTATAATCTTTCTCAGCCGTGTTGATAGACAATGACCCAGGCATTGTGGTGTAGTCTTGCTTAGTGGCGTTGGTAGTGCCTGGCCCAGGAATTGTGGTATAATCTTGTTTAGCTGCATTGGTAGTGCATGGCCCAGGAATTGTGGTATAATCTTGCTTAGCTGCATTGGTAGTGCCTGGCCCAGGAATTGTGGTATAATCTTGCTTAGCTGCATTGGTAGTGCCTGGCCCAGGAATTGTGGTATAATCTTGCTTAGCTGCATTGGTAGTGTCTGGCCCAGGAATTGTGGTATAATCTTGCTTAGTGGTGTTGGTAGACCATGACCCAGGCATTGTGGTATAGTCTTGCTTAGTGGCATTGGTAGTGCCTGGCCCAGGAATTGTGGTATAATCTTGCTTAGTGGTGTTGGTAGACCATGACCCAGGCATTGTGGTATAGTCTTGCTTAGTGGCATTGGTAGTGACTGGCCCAGGAATTGTGGTATAATCTTGGTCAGTAGTGTTGGTAGTACCTGGCCCAGGCATTGTGGTATAGTCTTGCCCAGCAGTGTTGGTAGACCATGACCCAGGCATTGTGGTATAGTCTTGCTTAGTGGTGTTGGTTGAGCATGGCCCAGGCATTGTGGTATAATCTTGCTTAGTAGCATTGGTAGTGCATGGCCCAGGGACTGTGGTATAATCTTGCTCAGCGGTGTTGGTAGACAATGAGCCAGGCATTGTGGTATAGTCTTGCTCAGCCATGTTGGTAGACAACGACCCAGGCATTGTGGTATAATCTTGCTTAGTAGCATTGGTAGTGCATGGCCCAGGGACTGTGGTATAATCTTGCTCAGCGGTGTTGGTAGACAATGAGCCAGGCATTGTGGTATAGTCTTGCTCAGCCATGTTGGTAGACAACGACCCAGGCATTGTGGTATAATCTTGCTTAGTAGCATTGGTAGTGCATGGCCCAGGGACTGTGGTATAATCTTGCTCAGCGGTGTTGGTAGACAATGAGCCAGGCATTGTGGTATAGTCTTGCTCAGCCATGTTGGTAGACAACGACCCAGGCATTGTGGTATAATCTTGCTTAGTAGCATTGGTAGTGCATGGCCCAGGGACTGTGGTATAATCTTGCTCAGCGGTGTTGGTAGACAATGAGCCAGGCATTGTGGTATAGTCTTGCTCAGCCATGTTGGTAGACAATGACCCAGGCATTGTGGTATAGTCTTGCTTAGTAGCATTGGTAGTGCATGGCCCAGGGACTGTGGTATAATCTTGCTCAGCGGTGTTGGTGGAGCATGGCCCAGGCATTGTGGTATAGTCTTGCTCAGCCATGTTGGTAGACAATGACCCAGGCATTGTGGTATAATCTTGCTTAGCGGCGTTGGTAGTGCATGGCCCAGGGATTGTGGTATAGTCCGGCTCAAGGACGACAGTGTAGCCTGACTCAGGCACTTTGGTGTTGAAGGGCTCTGGAATCTTAGTGTTTCCTGGTTGTGGAACATCTGCATAGCATGGCTCTGTGGTTATGGGAGCAAATTTTCCTTGTGGTGGAGGCTGACAAGGTTGCTTCACTTGATGCTGTTGAGGCTGAGGAGGTGCCACAAAGGGCTGCTTCTGCTGGTAGGAGCTCATGCTTCAAAGGATGCTGACCCTAGAGACAGGACAACTGGTTAGGTAGTTTTGAGGGAATGTGCAGAATACTAAATATTTTTATTGCTTTTCTCCTAAAAATTAAAGACACTTTTATTTTCCTGAGCTGGATGGAAATCATAGATTATTTTTATAGTTGCTACCTACTTTTACAGCAAAATATTAAAGTGATTTGACTACCTCTTTATAAGAAATAAATGGTTATAGTCATTTCCTTCCTTCCTTCCTTCCTTCCTTCCTTCCTTTCTTCCTTCCTTCCTTCCTTCCTTCCATCCTTCCTTCTTTTCTGTTTTTTGTTTTGGTTTTCGAGACAGGGTTTCTCTGTGAAACAGTCCTGGCTGTCCTGGAACTCACTTTGTAAACCAGGCTGGCCTCCAACTCATAGAGATCCACCTGCCCCTGCCTCCCAAATGTTGGGATTAAAGGCGTGCACCACCATTGCTAAACTTTAGTCAATTTCATTATGAGGCTCATTTCACATCCATCAGAGTTAAGGATCTCAGGAAAGCCTAGAACATTCTCTCCTCTGGCTGGCAGTTTGCTTTGTGACTGAGCCCACAAGCAGGAAAGAGGGCAGCCTCCAGCTTCAAATATTCATTACATAAAGCTCTGTATCCTAAACTAAAAGAACAGGGAACTTGGGAAGTCTTGACCTATGAGAAGAAAGGCCAGGAATTTCTCAAGATCTTGTCTTGTACTAGTCCAGCACTGTGGACACCTTTGTCTTTTCTCTCTGCTGGTATCCTTTTCTGCAGAATGGTACCTTAAAACCTGCTTCCTCTTCTCTAGTCTCTTGAATTTGTTATTTTGTTTTCCACATCTGTGTGAATGGAGCTCTTTTATATGTTTTTTTGTTCCATGATTTTTTTTACCCTATGTATAGATCATAAACAGAACAGAACAACTCAAACCAGCAGTAAGCTCCTAGGATTGCTGCAAATCCTAGTTTCTCAATCATTTCAGGCAAAAATGTCTAGAGTAGAACTCTGATAGGAAGGCTTCCTGTGAACCTTCCCTCCTACTTGCAAGATTCACATCTGAGCCCCAGTTCACACTTGTCCTCTGCATTTGCTTTTTGTGAGTTCTCACTGCACTCTGCTTGTTCATACAGGCTTCCCACCATGCCTTCCCACCCCAGGCCTCTGTCCCATTCCAAGTCCTCTTCCTTCTCCTGCCCTAGCAAGACTCTGACTCTTCCATTTCTAGTAAGCCCTGTGTTATATTTGTGATGAATTATAGGCTCATGAAGCAAAGATTTTAAGATTTGAGCATCCAAATGCATAGAGTAGTGCCTTTGATGGTAAAAATTCTCAACTCGAATAGAGGACACTGAAGTGCCTGGTCGTGTTGTCTCATCCACGACTTCCTGTCAGCCTGATGCTGCTCTTTATAGAGCCCCCCTTTTCTGATCCACACCCCACAGCTCTAGTTGGAGAAGGAAGTGAAACATATGCAGTGAAAATAAGTGGACAAGCCTTTAGATTGTCAAGAGTTTCCAACCAAGATCAGCACAGAAGTGTGGCAGAAAGTTCTGAGTGGGGAGTCTTACCTTAGAGGATGAAGCTCTCTGGACTCTCGGATCTGCTGAGAGATCTCTGGCCAGCTGTATATTTATACAGAAAAGGAACCCTTCCTTAAGGAAGTAGATTTTTGGAGTTGCTCTGCCTTCATTCCAGCTTTTGTGAATGAAAATCCATGGCTTAACATTGTGTTCATGCCTACTGTCTGATGGTGATGTCACCTAGCCTGACTCCACTGTCCACCCTTGTGGTGTGGCTGCTATGATGGGGATCAGACTTCTTGGGAGGTGTTGTATTAAATCAAAAGGAAATGATAGATGCCTGGGACTAGAAACAACCCTATCCACTAATCCAGTTCAGCCTCTCAGTATTTGGAGTGGATGCAGAGGTATTTCTCGTTCCTCTGGAAGGTCCCAGGGAAATGTCAACGAAGAACTTACTTGCCAGCAGACCATGCTGGTGAGGGGAAATAGGAGGCTGAAAGTATGAGAGTTTGGGGAACCGGTTCTTTTCACTGTGGAGGGAGTCCCAAAAAGACAGGCTGGCTTTTAAAATTTTATATTGAAAACTTTTGATTACCAAATAATAATATGAACCTTCAAAACAAAATGGCGTTTGCTTCATGCAAATATTGCACAAAAATCAAATAAAGGTTATTAGTATATGTAGTTTTTTATTTCTTCTTTAGGGCAAATGCATTCAAAATCCTCTCAGCCATTTTGAAATATGTTATGCATTGGTGTTTACTTATTTACCCAATGGTGCCTTTAAACACCCCATCCCTACTTCTCTTTTCAGCCTCTGATGGCCGCAATTCTACCTTCAGCTTCCAGAAACTGTGTTTTACATCCTACATATGAGCAAGCTCAGGTGATGTTTGCCTTTGCCACTTTACTAGCCTCAGGGATCTCCAGTTCCATTCCTATGTCACAAATGAAAGGGTCCCATTGTGTGTGTGCACCCACTTCCTTTATCCATTAATCGTAGATAGGACTGCAATAAACTTTGTGGTTCAGGGGTTTCTTTAACATGGTGAATAATTTCTTAGGGGGACATGCCTAGTGGTGGAATTGTAGGGTTGTAAAGTAATTTTACTTTCAGCCTTTTCTGTTTCTTTAAAAGCTGTACAACTTGCATTCCCATCAATTCTTTTCTCTGTATCCTGGCCAGAGTTTGTTGGGTTTTGCTTTGTTGATAATAGCTATCCTTACCGGGGTGATGTAGTATTTCCTTGTAGTTTTGATTTTGAGTTTCTCTGATGGTTAGGGTTGCTGAACTTCTTTTTAATGTATCTATTCATATTTTCACTTGAGAAATTCAATACTTTACCCAGTAGTTGCAGTGGATTATTAGGTCCTATCACATATGCAACTTAAAAGTGTTTCTTTTTCAATTCTGAAGTGATCACTTAGCACTGCTACTTTCTTTTTTTATTTTACTGTGTGGAAGCTTTTGAGCTTCATTTAATACCATTTGTCAACTTGTGATTTGTTGTTTATGCTTTGTGTAATATCTAAAATTGTTTGCCCAGGTCAATGTCTAGAACAATTCCAGTAGTTACAGAAATTTCCATCATGCATTTAAGTCCTTTGATCTATTCACGGTCACCCCTAGAATCAGTGAGGGAGAGGCAGTCTAGTGTAATTCTTCGGCATATGGAACTGTTTGCACAGCACCGTTCATCTTCACTTAGGAGCCTGGCCTGCTGTGTCAGGCTCTTTACCCTTCTGCTCAGTGCAGTTGGCTGTAAATGCATTTGGGCTGATTCCTGAGCTTGCTATGCTGTTACACTGCTCAATAAGTATGGGTTTATGCCAGTACCATGCTATTTTAGTTTCTGAAGATTTGTAGTGTTTTCCAGTCAAATGTTGCAGTGCCTTCATTTGAATTTTCAAGATAGATTTGACTATTTGGGGGGACTTTTGTGGTCTTACAAATTTCAGGATCTTTGGTATTTCAGTATTTTGATAGGCATTGCATGAATATTTTGACATGATAAATGCCTCCAACCCATTAGCATGGAATATCTTGCCATGTGTTTGTATCCTCTTCAATTTCTTCTATGAATGTTTCATATTTTCCATTGTAGACATCTTTCATCTTATTTTTAAGTTTATTAATAGATATTTTATTACTGTAGGTAGTGTAAATGGGATTGTTCTCTAATTCCTTTTTGTGGATCATGTGGATTTAGTTGATCACATGGGCGCCACTCTGTTGCATGGAGAGTGTTCTGTCCCGGCTGACCAGCTAGCTTACACCCAAAGTAATCACACAGAAACTGTATTCATTTAAACACTGCCTGGCCCATTAGTTCTAACTTTTTATTGGCTATTTTTTATATCTTAATTTAACCCGTTTTTGTTAATCTATGTATCACCACATGATTGTGGCTTACCAGCAAGATTCTAACCAGCGTCCGTCTCAGGCAGGAGATCCATGGTGTCTGTCACTCTGCTCTTCTTCCCAGCATTTAGTTCTGTCTACTCCGCCTATCTAAGTTCTGTCCTATCAACTAGGCCAAGGCATTTTCTTTATTCATTATCCAACCAAAGGAACACACAAACAGAAGGAACTCCTACACCAATTTTAGGAGACAATCACATTTCTGGGCCTGTAGGTGTTTTTGAAACTGATAAAACTTTTTCTTGTATTCTACCCTAGATTTTGATGAGACCAGCAGGCAATGCCCTGGACAGCTGCACCTTGCTTTTGGGATCTCCACTAGAATGAACAGCTGAACTCAGATGGAACACCGGGCTTTGTTCTGCTGTCTGGTAAAGATCACTCATTGGGCACTGCAAACAGTGGAGCTTCTGGATACTGAAATTGTCCCTTATCCATTGGGCCACTGTATTAGTTACTATTCTCATCACTGAGGAAAAGTACTGAACAGAAACAACTTAATGGAGGGTCAATTTGTCTTGGCTCTTGTGTCTTAAACATACACATTGCAGCAAAGAAGACCCAGAAGCTGGAGCCTGCTCTGCTATGGTGTGGTTTGTTAGCATCTCAGTAGATCAGGGTGCAGAGAGCCAAACCACAAGTCAGACAAACATATGAAACTCAAAGTGGCCCTATATCTGCTGGCTAGGCCCAATGTCCAACAGGATCCACAGTCTCTGAAGTCCTTTTCAAAGTGCTCAACAAAGGAGCCTCTAGGGATGTTCACACCTAGGCCAGAATAGCTGTGGGATGTGTTTCTTTACCAACAGACACCGCTATTGGAGCCCAGCAGTTAGAAAGAGTTATGGGAGGTGTGTGTGTGTGTGGGGGGGGGGGGGTCCTATGGTTCCACGGCTCAGGATGAACAGGTTAGCTGCTATTTAGTAAAAGGCTGAAGCAAGTGTTGACTAAACACTTTCATACGACAAAAGTAACTCCTGAGTTTTATTATTTGTTTAAAGCTCTGTGTGGAGCCTGAAGCTGAAAAAACAAAACAAAACAAAACAACAACAACAA